ACTAGAAATTATAAAACATGTTGAATCAATCTTTATAGATAAGAATAATAAAACCATTTTCAGAAAAAAAATTTGTATTTATCTAGATTGTCTATAAGAATATTTGATAGAAATGATGTATTACACACTGTCTTCTTGATGGAGAAAATCTGGTCTACAGACATAGAAAAAAAACACAGATAGATGAAAACAATTCTAAAAATTTGATGTTAGAGGTACCCAAGTAAACTAACATGGAAAGACTAAATTGTGGAATAATGTCAAATATAAATTTCTATGTCATTTTATATATTTTAAGTATTTATAGTCCATGTAAGATACATTTAACTTTCTAAGTGATTTAACCTACATAATGTATGACCATGCAGACCAAGCATTAAAACAGCTTTTATTCCTAACATTGTAATGTGGATTTGTCTTAACCAAGAATATAGATTAAAATTCTAAAAGGCACTATTTCTAACATGCATATAAACAATGTGGCACAATTTCTCTTGTCATGATTCCATATCTTAACTGTCTGGACTTTATATGTACATAATGCAGTGTTTCTCAAACTTAGATTTCCGATTATCTTTTTAAAGTCCTGCTTTTTTAAAATACCAAACTTAAAACAAGCAGCAAACAAACAACCCTAATTCGTGTGGTCAAGAATTTGTATTTAGTTTCACTTTTTGTTTTCTTTTAAAATACTTTCATTTAGTGCTAGATGATTTTCTTATTTTTTCTTGTATTATTTGCTCTCGCAGGAGATAAAATAGAGATAATAAAGGATCGTATTCAATGAGGACATTTGTGTGTATTTTTTTTTTTTAGGTAAAGGCAATGTCTTCAGACATATCTGTGATGTAGCCCTCTTTTATCAGTTACCAAGTGCACCTGAAACCATGTTTGTTCCTTCTTATTCAAATTATTATTGGATTTACCTGGAAGTTATTAGTATCTGTATGAGTATATCCCATTGCCATACATTTTTCCTCTATAAATTTATTAGTATGTTCTCATTTTACACTGTCTTCTGAGTTCTTTATTCATTGTAGAATAATTCAGAATAATAAAGAAATAGGTCTTTGCTCATTAAAAACATATGTTTGAAGAGATCAAATTTGCATGGAAAAATAATTTGAAAAGGAATATAAATAACTGCTTTTGTTCTACAAATGTAAATGCTATTGCATTACAAAAGGAAGCAAAATACCGTCAGGGGCTATAAAGAAAGTATTTGTAAAGGAAGGGAAAGTTTAGTTAAGTCTGAAAGGAAATGAAAAAACAAATGGTTTGGTAGTCAGTAGAAACAGTTTATTTGAGGAAAAAAGAGTAAGTTCAGAATAAGAGCTGGGAGTGGAAAGCAGGGTGGCGATACAGGGGAATGGCAGCAGAGTTATGAAAAGGAGGCGTTGATTCTAGCAATATACAGGTTGCCCCCACCACCTGCCCTTAAAAGTGAAACATCTTCCTGGGCTGCTAGCATGATTTATATTAAAATGTTTATTAAATATTCACAACAATAAAACAACACATACATTCCTTATGCTTGTAGCTTTGATTAAAATATGGAACCAAAATTAAAGATGCATTATAAACAAATTAATGCATCATTAAAATGTTTATTTACAGTGTATTTTGTTTTTACTGAAATACGTATCTCTATGACTGTAAGATGAGACACAGATTACCACATGTGTGTATATAACACTTTCTGCCTGTAGCTGTACCATGTGATGACTCAATCCTACCAGCACTTTATTCAACTGACCTTGAAACTTTTTATGTGTATTACTACATGGGAATGTTGTTTGGTTTTCATTTGGCTGGAATTTGTCATTAACATATTATACCCATCTTTGTTCGTTTTATCATTTGGAAACAAGACTTTGAAAGTGGTTCAGAATGTATGATAAACATCCATAGTAACACTGAGATTGATCTTTCACATGATTCCAAATACAGCTAATTAATTTATATTATTGTACCAATCAGCACAATAATTTTAATAATTCTTAAAAAGAGTGGCTCTCCAGATCTCCAGAAATGTAACTCTTCTACCAACCCTAGTTTGAGAAACACTACATTGAGCAATTTTGGGATCTAGATTTAGAAAGGCAGGATCTGGTTAATGGAGCAATTCTTACTGCTCAGGCAAGAAATTGAGGTCTGAATAAATTCTAAATTGGGATGTTGACAAAAGAAAGCGAGCCTTAAAGAAGAGTAAACTAGAGCCCATTTGTTTAAATAAGCGGGAAAAGATGCCACAAGAAAATTAATTGAAGGACTGTTGTTAGATGTTTGCGTGTAATGTTGCATATTCGTGTATGAAGGTTAACAGGTGAAATGATGGTAATAAAGCAGGGAGGACACTTTTACAGGGGCTTGAGAGAGGCTAGTTTGGGAAAACGATGTTTAATTCAGTTGTGCAGGATGAGAAGTAACCAGCCTTAAAGAGGTGTCTCGAGGCTGAGATGTACACAGAGATCCTAAAACAGAATCAAGCTGGGTATGAAAGAAAAAAGAGAAATAAATGAAAGATTTGGGGAGTTTGCCATGAGATAAGATCAAAGAAACAGTTGTAAGGTATGAAAATTTATCATTGCAACAAAAATGGTGATCAGGAAGGGATGTGTTTAAGGGTCACCACTGAAGAAATGTAGATAGAAATTTGTGATAGCAAGTAATGAGAGAGAAGTATAAACCATCAACAATTGAGTATAGTGAGACTAGAATAATGATGTCATGGTCAGAAATAGGGAAGTTAGTAAATGGAGGGCAGTTAGCGTGGAAGGACACTAAATTATATGTATTAAAGGCTTATGTATGTTTCTTTTAGTTAAAAACACTAAATCCATTGTTTTTAACAATAGAAAACACAACACAATGGATTATCTATGTGTAAGATGTACCATTTTAGGGAAACTGGCTGAAACAAAGAAATAAAAGTGACATCAAATGGATGGAAATAAAATGTGAGATCAGTGAAGGAAGGAGGATTGCACCATAAAGGCAATGAGAAACCTGCAGAAGAAACCAAGAAAGAGTAAAGAGAGTAAGGACAGTCTATTGGCACATACCACAGATAAGTGGGAGATGTTTAAGGAGGCAGGTTTTATCTATATCAAATGCAACAATAAATTTTAAAACAATGGAGGCTGTACTTCAGAGTCAGTATCATGTGAGGCACAAGGTGGCCACAGGTTGCAATAGTTGGTAAAGCTATGGAGAAAGCCAGTGGTGGAAAATAAGTTTGCTCAGACGCCTGGCCTGGAGACACGAGTAAATAATCAGAGGTACACAAAGTCCTTTAAGAGTTTGTTGGCTGTGACCCGTGCTAAGGATGTTCTAAGAAAAACCTATCATTAAAACAGATTGTTCTATATAGTGAAGATGGTTTTGCTTTGAGAGTCTCCTTGGTTCTTCCCTGGAGGAGTTCGCTCTCCAGTTAATGGCTATAGCATTCTGCCTACCAGGACATGTTCCTGCCAAGTCAAGGGAAGCACCTACAAAAGACTTACGGCGCCTCTTTTATTAGCCCAACTGGGTCACTCTGAAGCTTCCGAGTAGTTTATTTACTTTACATGGCTGAAAAAAAAAAGTCTTTGGGATGCCACATAACTTAAAAATAACATCCCAGTTTCTTACCATGCTATACTGCTTCATTTTGCCATCTGTTCCATTGTGGTTTGTGGATGCCAGTTTCCACACCTGAGTAATCACACTGAAACTTTGTTCACGCCAGCTCTAATCAAGGCAGGGAAGAGCTGAGTCTGGCCATCCTGGCCAGGACCTATCACAGGGACAAAAACATGCCTATCATTAATAGCCTTTATTGCCAAAGTGTTTGTAACTATTACCTCTGCACTTGTATCGACAAAGATGAATATTGCTTTCATTTTTGTTTTCTGAAACGGGAAATCTGTCTGCATACAGTGAATCACCTTTATACTATCATCATAAGATCCTGGGCCACAGGAAAACATGATTGTTTTTAATTGGACAAATGTATAGTAACAAGGTAGAGGTAGCTATTGATAGCACTGTTTGAAAACCCCTCACCTATTTTATTTTATGTATTCTTCACAACAATTTTTCAAGTTAAGTCATCTCCATTTTAAGAAGAAAACTAAGGCAAGAAGTACACATGAATCCCATAAATCACACAATCAATAGTGGTGCCAATATTTGACTCTAGCTCTGCCTAATGTCAAATCATTTGCTTACTAGTCCAGCTATTTGTGATAAAAATATGAGCTATTCATTGAAAGCCTGATTTTGCTCTTCTTGCTTTGAATTATAATTATTTATTTATGGAAAAATGTGAGTAATTTGTTGTATCAAAAACATGATGAAAGATATTTAAGCACTGAAAGTATATAAAAACTTAGTATTTGCTAGAATGTCTGATCTTTTAGCACAGGAACTGGATTTGACTTGTTTGGTTTTTAATCTCCAGTAAAGGAAAGCCAGTGAATACGTGAGGGATGTTCAATGAATTGATTAATTGATTTTTTTTTTTTTTTTGGTAAGGAGACAAAGTGAAAGTAGCCCAGTTCTGGAAACAGATGTCCTTGTGGAAGGAAACATTGGTCCTTATAATCTGGAAGGCATAATAATCCCTGAAAGAATGTGGGAAATGGTATATGTTCTGTCCATTAAAAACAAATGTCAAAAAATACATTTTAGAAATTTTCCTATCATTCTGTGAGTGCTATACTGAAATGTATTTTTTCTAATGATTAACTGAATCATTAGGGAGAAAGCTCTCTTACTTTACAATATTGATATAAAATGATCTGAAGGTCATTGATATGAAATGGCCTGCAATGTAAATATCTTCAGAAGCCACACACACACACAGATGTAATTATTTAGCATCTTTGTGTATGTATGACTTTCAGGGTTTCATTATGTGATGGTGAAAATGAAAAAAGACTGGTGGGGGAAAGGGTGACAGGTTGTTGTTTTCTCTCTTGTGTACTTCAGTGCCCTTTACTTCTGTGTTCTTGCAGGTGAAGACCGATGACAGAGTGATTAAGATGGACCTTGGCTTGCTCTTCCTAAGGTTACAAAAATCAGATGCTGGAACCTATTTTTGCCAGACAGTAGAGCATAGCTTTGTCCATACTGCCCGTAAAATCACCTTAGAGGTAGTGGAAGAGGAGAAAGTCGAGGACATGTTTCACAAGGACGATGAGGACAGACCTCGCAGGATGCCTTGTCCTGCCCAGAGTAGCGCCTCGCAGGGAGCAAAACCATGGTACAAAGAATTCTTGCAGCTGATCGGTTATAGCAACTTCCAGAGAGTGGAAGAATATTGTGAGAAAGTATGGTGCACAGATAGGAAGAGGAAAAAGCTTAAAATGTCACCCTCCAAGTGGAAGTATGCCAACCCGCAGGAAAAGAAGCTCCGTTCTAAACCCGAGCGCTACCGCCTGCCCAGGCACACGCTGGACTCTTGATGGGGTGAGACCATTTACTGTCTTTTGAAGCATTTATATTTGGAACATAAGAAAAAAAAAAAACAAAAGAAAAGGAAAAGAAAAGAAATCATCCAACTTCTTTGCATTGCTTAAAAGAGATTTCTGTAATACAGAAATAACTATAAAGGTGTTATAAATTACTCTACATACACATTTGACTGGATAAACTTCACATAAAATTAACTGATTTTTTAAACTAAATGCATTGCTTAATGGTTTCTCATTATGTTTGTCAAAAAAACAACTATAGTTGTCATTTTCAGTACTTGGCTGATTTTCTGCAGTAATTATTATTTTACCCTTGGAAGACTTAGGATTATTAGAATATTGAAGAAAAATAGAGAATTTCATAATCATAGTAAATATAAAACTAAATATGTCTTAATATTTCTGAATTTTTCTTTTCCACCGCAATGTAAAACATGCAGAATACAAGATACTTTGGCATTCTCATGTGAACTTTCTGTACTTTTTAGGGACTATTTTATTAGTGTTGTGTAAGCCACAAGTGTTAAATAGCAGGTGTGTTGTGACTGCTATAACCTCTGAAAGAAAAAATGTGGTCACTCCACAGCTTGTGCCCTTCACAAAACATTCATTAAACCACATTCACAATATTTTTGTTTCATAACGTAATCTTTAAATTTCACTCACTGTGGAAAGAAAGCTTAAGGTAACTTCTCAGAAAGAGAGCAAAGAATGTCAAATTACATGAAGTTATCGTTAGAATTCTAGTCTACTGCAAAAGATTTTTGCTGCCCTCTTGTGGGAGAAGAGGTATATTCTCACACATTTCTTTTTTCTTTACAGGAAAGAAATGGAAAGATTTAGGAAAGATTTGAAAGCACATTATCAGTAGATACATTGAGTCCATTTGCAGAAACAATGAATGAAATTTAAAAAACATGTTAATCCTTACATCAAACTTTAATATTAAAGTATTGTTTATAATTTATTATCTCACAAGTCAAAAATGAAGATTTTATAGCACTCAAGATCTAAAGCTCAAAATTGTAAAAGTCATCTTCCCTGAAATCTAAAAGATATTATAACAGCCATGTTTTATTTGTGAAACAGGTATTAAAGTGATTTTCTCTCAGATAATCAAATTTTCTTCTCTATATTAAGAGACAGGAAACTGTTTCATGAGTTCACTTAACTACTGAGATATTCAGAGCATTTTACCTCTCCTAACTATTATAAAACCAATTGTATTTTTGAGAATGTTTATCAAAGTCTTTCCTTCTCCTATTAAATATTTAGCAATTGCTTTTCTAAAATATAAATTTTTATAAGATGTTTTCATCTAAATAAAAATTTAAAGCAAGTGTATTACACAGGAAAACCATTGTGAACATTTATTTAGATATTAATCTTAATGTTTATTTCAGTTGTCAAAGTCAGCTTTTAGGTTACACATTTAAGTTAAAGTGCTGATAACTCATAATCACTTGCAATTTTATTGTATAATTAACAAATACATAAATACTTTAAGAAAAATTTCAGTTTATTCAGATAAGTCACCAAGCTTCAAAAGATCTAAGAAATGCAAATGTACTGAAAATTGACATGCTCCGAAAATTCTGCTTGCTATTTACCTAAGAATCCACTGGAGGTCATTATTGCCCATAATTATTAACTGAAAAGAGTACGTATTGAAATATATATGTTTAAAAACCATATTCAGTAAAAGCCTGCTAAATTTGGAGAAATAGAACCATAAACACAGATCACAGGGCCCTTACAAAGTTTATGTCTGAACAAATAAGTCAATTAAGTACCCTTTATTGACAATAGTCTTCTACTAACACACAAGAAAGAAAGCAGGATTTTTCTCCTATATCTGAATTTTGAATTTAAAAATTAAGGCAGATAAGACATAAGTGGTTATTATTTTAATCGAGATAACACAGACAAGTAGTTAATAATAACTGTGGTGTAACTTGTAAACTAAATATTTGGTAACTGAAGCAATAGGCAGAGGAAAATAGTTTTTCTATGACACAAGTCATAAGAAGTACACACTCAGAACAGCCATTTGATTAAAATAAAGTAACTATTTACCAGAAAAGAAACATTTTACATAAAATGCTAAAATTGATTCTAGGATAATCAAACCCAAATAAAGTTTATAAAATGCTAATTTGAGAGAAAACTGATACGAAAATTTTGAGGGCCCAGGTCTACAGTTTAGGGTGACCACTAAATTTTATACATAATTATACCCACATACACATATGTACATATATGTATAAATCTTGCTTCCTGCCTGTTTATGGCAGCACTGAAGAGAACTGGGAAAGTAGCGGGAGGGAGAGAGAGAGAGAGAGACAAAGAGAAAGAGATGAAGAGACAAAGAGAAAGAGAGAGAGAGAGAGCAATTCCCAAGGATATGTTTCATGTCTCATCATTTTTCAGTATCTTCCTCTCTCTCCCAACACATGTGCACGTGCCGCGCACACACACACACACACATGCACACGCACACACACAACACACCTCACATACTATAAAATAAATCAAGCCATGCTGTCTGTCCTTCTTGAGAATTTAAAACATACCACAGAAATATATCCCCAGTATTTTGTTCTGTCTGAGGTGAGAATTCAAATTCAGAATCTCTTTTGAGAAATGCCCAGGCTTGGAAAATTACAAATGGATGAATCTTCTCTGAACTCAGGGAGGGTACATACTTAGACATCTACAAGACTTGGAGGAATTAAGAGTTCGCTCTTGATCTCACCAAAATTTCCCCCTTTTTCTTTTTCTTACAGAAGGAGAAAAACCATGCTCTCTAGCAACACTGAGCAAAATCATAACCACTCATCCTAATTTCTAAGGGGCACCTCCATCTAGGGTCAGTCTACTGCTTCCTTAGGCCTCTTCTATGTTATTCTTTGTTACGGGAGAGGACCTGTGGATAGAAAGAATTTTGACATAAAACAATGCCCATTCACCTCCTCTTTCATCACAATGCCACCCGTTGAGCAAGAGATCCAGATTTGTTACCAAGAAAGATTTTACTTCGTGATTTGTAAAGTCTCTTCTATGTCTCTAATTCTACATTGCTAATTTTTTTTTCTTTGTGTGAATTACTGAATATTTCAGTGCAAAGCTATCAACTCGGAGAAACAGGGATAAAAGATAAACACTAATAAGAGCTCTAGAAAAAAGGGAACAAAGTCTTTGCCTGTTTAGTAAGTGGCAATTCCATATATATTTTAGAGTTTGTTTCTTTCTAAAATTAGTTAAATACTTAGAATGTTTGTAATGAGTGTTCAATATTTGCTATAGGGTTTAGAGTTTTGTAAATCTTCATAGTAATTATGAACATTTGTAAAATTTGTAAAATACAACAAATTGTTTTGAATGTTGGTGTTAAGCATGAAACAAACACAGCAGCTGTTGTCCTTAAAAATGAATTGACCTGTGACATCTGTAGCCTAATAAATATATTAAGAAAAGTAGTTAGTATTGTATAGATATTTGAGATCCCAGGAGAAAATGCTACTTATAATAAGAAGTTCATGTTCTTTTTCTTACAGCAGAACATCACACTGAGTTCCATTTTAAAGAAGGATTCATTTTTCAGGCCAAGAACTGTTGCATTTGAACCAGATATAAATCATAGATTTTCTGCAAACACTCAGTTGATTGTAGCAGTGTTATTTAAGCTGGTATGTTTATTTTATTTTATTTTCTTGGATAGCTTTGTATTTTGGCTTTTATTATAAATTGATTGTGTTCTACTTGTGTTTAAATGGCTTAGTTATAAGCTAGAGCACTATATTGAGGTGTTCTTTTATGTGTGGTATCCTTTTATTTGCTTGGCTGGGCTCAATAGTGTGTGCCATATTCTTTCTTTTCACTGATTATAAGCCATGAGACTTATTATCATCTAGTGGCAAGCTGCAGGGACCATTAACAGTGTGTCTCTGACTATAACTTGGATCTGCCACTATGCACTGCATAATTTGTCTGTACCACTATGTACAATCTCTATTTGGTTCAACTTAGATGAAAAAGAAATAAATATTTGCTAAACTCTCAAGTGTCGTCTGGAGAGCATTTTCTAAGGTTTTGCCAATTGAACTCAGGTTTTTTATATTAAGCCTAAATGTAAACATACAATGCCAGACTCCAGTGTTGTTGTTTTTTTTTTTAAGAAGCTATAATTCAGTTTTCTTTCTTGTGGTATTTATAAGCTAATTTTATACTACAGAGGAAAACGTCTGTTAACCTCATTACCTTGCAGTAATTGGGTTTATTTATGCAATACCATGTTGCTAGGACCAGTAGCCAGAAATTCCTTCCAAAGCTTCATCATCCAGATAAGATATATGAAAAATGAAAGTTTTTGGAATGGTAACTAGTTGAATGTTTATGATTTTTGCAAGCCTCAAGTTCTAGCTTAATGTATCTGAATTGCTTTTTTCTCTGTTATTTTTATAAGACCTTGAGAAGGCCATTTAAATGAAGTGTAGTGCTAAGTAAACTTTTGTTACCATTTATCATTGCTACATTATTGCAACTCCTCTGAATCAAAGCCTAGCCTCTCAATGCGGTCCTGATCAGGAGTCTCAATAGTCATAATTTGTTTATGAACATTCATAAATAATTCATAAACATTCACTGTTTATGAATATTCAATATTCATAATCTGTTAAGAAAAATTTTGTTTCTGAGGCAGATTTTATTGTATTGATAAGTAATTTGTTATAATGTTTTAAAAGAAAAAATTGGTGGCAGCTCATGGGACATGTCTCTGGCAGCTTTATGGTGTGACGATGATATTAACAGTAGCTGTTTATCATATTTCAACCTTGCATTCATTTATAATATAGGCCTACTTTTTGTATAGTATTCAATAACTAATTGAGGCTGTGCTTCAGACACATTTTCAGTCTTTAGTCAAAGGAAGAAGAGAAGCAGTTATGGTAACTAGAAATCTGTTGCTTACTATTCAAATGAAACAAAAATATGCTCCCATATTTTTATTCAAAAACTGTATACCAGGCACTGAACTAGGCACTGTATAAAGTGTAGAAATACTAATAATCCCATTATTACATAGGTAAATAACAATTACATTTTTTTGAGACTATGTTTGCAGTGTATATTGGAAAAAAATCCCAAAATCTTCATTGTACTCTATAGTACATTAAATGGAACAACAGTGCAGTTTAAAACAAGTACTTATGCTTTCAGAAGTAGGGTTGGTATACACAGGGAATGGGTCCAGGACACCATGTATACCAAAATTCATGAATGTTAAAGTCTTGCTGTCAGCTCTGTAAATTTAAATAGAAGAAAAGTCCCCCCTCTCTATGTGTGGGTTTCATATCTTATAAACACTTTTTTTCCATCTGCATTTGGTTGAAAATGATTCACATATAGATAGGCTTTTGCAATTCAGATCGACATTGTTAAAGAATCAACTGGACTACTAATTATGAATATTAAAACTCCTGGTCAGGATGGCATTGTGAAGCCAGGCTTTGATTCAGAGGAGTTGCAATAATATAGCAATGATAAATGGTATGGAAAAAGAGAAATAATTTAATAAAAAAGAAAGAGACCAACAGAGAAGCATAACATCTTTATGAACCAGCAATGGAACAGAAATACAAGGCAGTGATTGGGTCTGAAGCCATAGATCTGCTTTCAGCAGAAGATAGTGGTAGCAGGAAGCCCAGATCCTGCATGATGAGAGGAATACGCATGATAGATGCCAAGTGAAGTGTTAGGACTTCTCTTAGCTTTGGGAAGATACCAAAATCTGAAATCTGGGTCCCAACCATTGCCTGGGGTTTCGTCATATAGGAGCTGCATGTAAAGCCATCTAAGGCTAGGACACAGACTCATTTCAGGTCCCAGGGCTGACTTACTTAGCCCTTTATTAATCTTCACATCTATTCATGACCTGGGATCCCTGGAATATGAGACTCCCAAGTCATCGCAGTACTGGAGCCTAAATAGCCAAAGAATCTTTTCTGGTTTGGTAGCCCTGAGGTGGGGATAAGGAGGTGGAAGCAAAAGTTAAACCTACAGGCAAGATTCTGTAGACTGAATTCTGTCATGTGTCTTGGAGATGGAGTTTTGGGAATGTAATTATGGTTAGATGAGCTCATGAGGATGGGGACCTCGTGATGGGATTAGTAGCTTTATAAGAAGAGCAAGAGAGACAGCGGTGGGGTGGTGGAGAGGGAGTGCAAGAAGCCTGGAAGGGCACTGTCTGTGAACGAGGAAGAGGGCCCTCACCAGGAACCAAATCTGCTGATACCTTGATCTTGGACTTCCCAGCCTCCAGAACTGTGAGAGATGTGTCTGTTGTTTAAGGTACTTATTCTGTGTCATTTTGTTATAGCAGCCTAAGCAGATTGATACACACGAGAAAACAGAGAAAGGTGGAGAGATTAAGGATAAACAGATATACCCAAAATGAACTCACAAACAAAATATTTCAAAACATCTCAAGATAACTAAGATAACTAAAGTTAAGTAAATAATAATATCTGGAAAACGTGATGAAAAGTAGCCTCCGGTGTGATGACTGTTGGCTTCTATCATTCAGGAATAGGGCATTTGGGAAGAGCTTAAAAAGTGTAAATTAATTCTCCTCTGTGACTCAGAATAGGTTTCAGAGAAAGGGAAAAACACAATTATAGACTCAATTTTCACCCCGTACCACTACCACCAGCGGGGGGGGGGGGGAAAAAAAAAAAAAGCTAACGACAAGACAGTTTCTTGAGGATTGTTCCACAGAGTTAACCAATTTTGAAATAATTATTGAAGAGTTAATTTATTTTTAAAATAAATCTAATACAAACATATTCTCCCATGGTGTCTATAGGTCAGAAGTCCAGAAATACATTTCATCTGGATTCTGTGCTTAGAATCTCAAAGACTAAGATCAATGTGTTAAGTAGCTGGCTCTGAGGAAGAATCCACGTTCAACTCATTCAGGTGATTGGCAGAGTTCTGCTCCTTGTAGTTCTAGGGTTGCAGTTGCTCCCCCCCATCCAACTTCAATGTCAGCAGTGGAGTAGTGAATCCTTCTGAAGCTTGGAATTTCTCTGAATTCCTCTTATGCCACATTTCTCTGCCTCCATCTAAAGAAATGTCCTTACTTTTAAAGCTCATCTGATTAGATGGTGCACATGATGATGTTCCAGGATAATCTCCCTATTTAAAAGTTTTCAATGTTAGTACTATCTGACAAATATTTGTTTTGCCATATAACATAATGTATTCACAGGCTTGGGGGATTATTTTGTGGTCATATTTGGGCATCGTTCTGCCCAACCAATCACAGTTCTTTTTCTGCTCCCCAAAGATTCATGTCCTCCCTAAATGCAAAACACATTTATCGATTTCAAGGTCCCCAAAAGTCTTATTCTATTATAAAATCAGCTCAAAAGTTCCAAATCTTATCACCTCAATGTTATAAATCAGGTGCAGATGAAGCTTTGTGTATAATCTGTCAACTACACATCAGGGGCACAATTCCCATTCATCTGTGCACCTGTGTAACTGTAGGAATAAGTTACCTGTTCCAACATGCAATGATGAGAGAGGCATGAAGTAATAGTTTACAGATATTGTGGTTTAAACAGGAAGAAGGAGGCATAAAAAATGGAGTCAATAGTCAAAGCAGTTTCAAAAACCAGCTGTATAGCCTCTATTAACTTTCAAGGCCTAGAAATATTATTCTGTGGCTCTTGGCTTTGCCCTGTACATCTCTATGTTACCCTGTAGGCAATCCACCAAAGCCTCTGACTCCTAAATGGCATTCTGAAATCCAACAGAGGCAAAGGCATAGATTTTCTTAGAAAAATTGTTATGAAGTGCACAGACAATTATCTCAACTTCCAATTTTGTAAAATCATTTTTCCTGTTAAAACTGGGGTATGTCATTAATAGATGACATTGAATGAGTTAATCTGACATAACATTCTACTGGTTTAATAAATTAAAATTCAAACACACAATTGTATTTCCAAAAAGGCTTATGGGCAGGCAGAGTCAAGGTAAAATTTTAGGGGAAATAATAATGTAATAATATAAATAATGAGATAATAAATATTTTATATTCATGAACAACAATTATGCCAAGTAGTAAATATTTTCTAAGCATTACCTCACTTAACATCAAAAATACAAAATAAAATGTCTTTGAGGTAGGTAGCTTTATTTATGGATGAGGAAACAGAAGTAATCTGTAGATCCCAGATTAAGGTGAAACATTAAACAATGACATTCTCACAAAAGCCAAAAAGCAGTGAACCTGTGGGCC